TCTCACATCAGATTATAGTTATTTGTAAACAATGTTATTTGCATTTGGACGAACTCGTAGAGGTGAATCTAGCTCTATCATATTTTATTAAATATATTTTTTAGGAATAATGACTGTCTGACAGCCATTTAAAAAAATCAAAAGTCTAGGGCTGGGTTGCACCATCTTAATTTAACTTTGACAAACGTCAAAAATCTGTCAAACTCCATACAAAAAACACCAAATTATCGTTACGGTCAAAGATAGGTGGTGCAACTCAGCCTAAATGGAACGCCTTTCAATTAAAAATATTCAGTAGCCATTTCTCAAAATAGAACCGGTTTATCAACAATAGGACAATAATAATGCGATGGTTTAGTGAGGCAGGCGAATCTCGGAGTGAATGCGGTGTTGTATTACCCAATACCTTGTAAGGAGCCGTCAGCAACTAGAAGCTAAGGGCAATCGCAAGCTAGCGACTTTATTTTCTTTATTAGGATACAAAATACATACTAATGTTGACGTATTGGAGTAATTTGTGTTTTATTGAAAGTATTGACTGAAAGTATTCAAAACAACACTGTAATCAACTCAATTTCGGAACAGGGTAACAAATTTCCTTTGGGTAACTTATTAACATAAGTTTTAAATCTGATAAATAAAATCCCAACTAATATTATAAATGCGAAAGTAACTCTGTCTGTCTGTCTGTCTGTCTGTCTGTCTGTCTGTCTGTCTGTCTGTCTGTCTGTCTGTCTGTCTGTCTGTCTGTCTGTCTGTTACGCTTTCCCGCTTAAACCTCGCAACCGATTTTGATGAAATTTGGCATAGAGATAGTTTGAGTCCCGGGAAAGAACATAGGATAGTTTTTATCCCGGTTTTTGAAACAGGGACGCGCGCGATAAAGTTTTTCTGTGACAGACAAAATTCCACGCGGGCGAAACCGCGGGCGGAAAGCTAGTCTATATATATAAAAGAAAGTCGTGTTAGTTACTCCACTTATAACTCAAGAATGGCTGAACCGATTTAGCTGAAAATTGTCAGGGAGGTACTTTAGAGCCAGGAGAAGGACATAGGATACTTTTTATCCCGTTCGAAATAAAAAAAAAGTCTGCTTATTTATTGCCATTAAGGCGGAACAAAGTTCGCCGGGTCAGCTAGTATTTAATATAAAATTTTCACCTATGTTGAGTAAATTATATTCGGTTATTCGTAGAATTGCAAATGATGATGTTTTATGACTTTATTGCATGCTGCAAATATTTCTCTACACAGCTTGTTACACATATGTAACATTCGGTTTCATTGTGTTAACAGTATTACGAAATTAGACAGTATCAATTAATGAAATCTACAAATAGCCCGCGTTCCGATTTAATTCTCATTTTGAAACACATTATCAAATAGCTTGCAACAATACACACCGTTTCAACCGCAGCAGCCTTTTATTTTAATCCATCCAACTCAACAAACCCGCATGCCTTTGTTTGGTGGAAATGCATCTTTATGATGAATAAAACACGATTTAAATTTAACAGAACAATATAAAGTCGCGTTATCATATCGTGTGCCCGACAGCCGGATGACGTCACAGTTGTCGGCGCATTGTCGAGTCTAGGGGTGTGCAAATCTGATCTGTCATATTAAAATTCAATCATTGTTCATTCATTTAACTATTCAATGACTACTGTAGTATAAGCCTACAATGAAGGCCTGTGGATCTCCACACTGTATCAGTGATTTCTGTTACCTACCTACGAGTAGTTAGTAAGTACATTTAATTATGTTTGACAGAGTTGGTACTAACCGCCTAACTACTATAATTTCTACTTTTCCTAAAAGATTAATGGGAGAATAGGCAGTATGTCATGAAATTTGTCTTTTGCACCTACCTTATTTTTTACATCTTATGATACTTAGGAAAGCTAGTTCAATATCAGTTTGCATATAATTATGCTCTTCTAGCTCGTTAAATAGGTATAAAAGAAAACAGTTGCTTATATGAGAAATATCAATTTGTCACGTTCAGAAGAGTACACAATATTAGTTCCAAACTATTGAATAAAATCCTTAAATTTAAATGAATATGTACTTATCTCTATTACTTGCCATCCCTACGCAAGTCTGCGTTCAGCCTTATTGTTCGCAGACGTCTGAAGTTGCCAGCCTTTGTTTTGTTTCCGATAAGGTCAACTTCCGACGTCCTCTTATCGGAGCTTTTGTTACGAAACTACGATCTTTTGCATGTTTAATGATCACTTAAGTAATGTCGGAGCTTTGATGGATGTTTAAGAATTTATGTACGATAGAGGTGTATAGGTAGTTTTGCGTAACAAACATAAACAATGCACATTGAACTGTGAATTTAATGTAGAGTTTAGGTAAAATATTTATGAGGTGAATGAAGCTGAATATTTACCAATGTAGAGAACTTTGCAAGAAAGTAATTTTTATTTTTGAATTGACTAGCGGCTGGAATTTCCTGGCTTTTCTCTTCTATAATATGCATGTTTTATAGGTATAAACCTGCCTCATGAGTCACTCTATCTATTAAAAAAACGGCATCAAAATCCGTTGCGTAGTTCTAAAGATCTAATCTAAGCATACATAGGGAAGGGACAGACAGCGGAAAGTGACTTTGTTTTATACTATGTAGTGATGTATGTATTTTCGTTTTAGTCAGGTGTTCCTTTTCTATAACAGCTGCACTTTTGCGTCGTCAAAAAGGGCTCTATGGTATTAATACTGATCTCATGGCTAGCTAGTGACGTTTATCCCTTCCTTAGATTTACTGCCAACAATCAATAAACGTCTATCAATACCCTTGTTGTGAGTTACTTGTTTAGTTATAAGTTCTGGTATAATTTGGTTCAGTAACGAGAAAAATAACAGAATTTATAAATCACAGTATCGCTCCTATTTACAATTGCGATGATTTTCCCAGAAGCTTAATCATACGAATGATACAAGCTCTAGACAATCCTGATTATCTTCAAACAATAACGAAACTAAGAAAAACAATGCTGGGTTTATGCCCGAGGCAAATTCATTTGTATGAACGTTCACGTACTAGTAGAGACGTAAAATTCAATTATTGTAACTACCTTGGCCAACTTAGAAGGGCTTGCCTCTCGGTTTTTTATGGACGTAACACAAAGGTACTATAGAACAGTTAAGCTTTAAACCAGGCCTTTGGTTATACCGATTCGAGAATTTAGAGTATGTGCCCGATCTCATATTTAATTTATTGTACTTCAAATTAATGAAGAATTTCATTAAATTGTAGGAATTATGAAGTAAGAATTTAGCTCAACGACAACTAAAAATAGATGTCAGAACGAAGTAAGCTCTAAAGCTTTTAAAGGCGCCTAACATTTTCCTTTTACTTTGAAATATTTTGCTATTACTCGGTTTTCATTTTGAATTATTCACAGATTAATGGAAATAGAGTATAAACATCATCATAATCATCTTAGGTTTAAGATTAGCCAAAACCATTCTTCCATTAATTATTTTTTCTATTGCAACACAAATCCTACCTAATTGCCTGAATATTTCCAAGTTCTCTATTGCATTTTTGTTTTCTTTCCAAGTTCTCTGTTGCATTTTTTTTTTCAAGTTCTCAATTGCATTTTTTTGGTATTCCTGTATCTGTACCTGATCAATAAACTTAAGTTCCATTCCATAGCCATTTACTTCATAGAAGGCTACTCAGTTACTTATAAGGTCATAATTAGCCATGATGCTATTGATCTGCCTTTAACCATGTGTTCCGAGGTCACTATGTTTTGTGTTATCCACACTGTGATTACAAATCTTTGCTAATTAAAATTTATGCCCATTGTCATGTTCTGCTCAGTCATTACGTATAATTTGATGGTTATATTTCATAAAAGAAGTACAGATTAATCATATAATAGAATAAAGAAGTTTTTTGCGCAAGTTCGCACACGTGTCTATCATTTACTATGTTGAGCTTACAAAAGTTTAATCCAAATTGCTACGTAATAATTATTTAATGAAAGACCACTCATTAATTTGTTTCATTTTGACAGTAATAACTCTGATCAAATTTGCCGAGGTCAATGGACTTATTCTAAACTTGATAACTCAACACTTACATGTATTGTACGTACAATGTCTGTCTTGTACGGCAATAAAATACATTTTATGATAATTTTACAATTATTTTTCTTGTTACCAAATTAACCAGTTTTGGTAAAATATTCTGTTTAACACGCCACTATTATGATGTACTTTACATTTTCGTAATCGTATGATTATCATAACCATTACATTGAAACTATGGGGACGACACTAATGAAAACCGCCATAAAACTTTCTACTCATCAAATTTTATGTGCGACGTCTTTTCCTAAACATTATGTCATCTACGTAAACAAAGCTCTGGTTGCGACACAGAGGCGCGCATCAAAAGTCTAATAGGTGCTCCTTCTAATCTCTGAAACTATCTCCACCACGTGACAAAGCTTGGTAATGGGCACTGTCATTAGCCTATTTTCCTGAGGCGGCTCACTTTTTATCAGATTCAAAGTCTTCTCCCAACACAATTGCGGTAGCTCGCTCACCGTTGCAGCGTTGTCGGTCGTAAAAAATAAACAAAATAACGACTCCGTGCCTTCAGACTAGATTACGATAACTTCGTGACCGAATTCTGTATCATCGCGATGAATTGGATCATAAATATTTATGGTATTATGGTATCAGAAAAATATCCGGCTACCAGTAAACTCAAGCACCAACAAAAAACGGAAGTTAAGCAAGTATAAAATGATACGTCAATTATTGCGTTTATAAAACCAGATTAATAGGGCCAATAAATTCATCACGTTTTTCGTAAGAATCTTGAATGGTCACTGAATCATGTCAAGTTATTTATGAGTAAACGTCAACAGATATTTTTCAAACTCTTAACATAAAATATGTTAATAAGAAATAATGAATAAATTAGATTCACGCCCAACGCGAATATAATTAATGTTACCGTTAAGAATAATCACCTTAATAACGCCAAAACAATCCACAATTATTATTCATAAGCACTGAAAACTAATTGAGTTGTCACAGTCGTCTGTTATGATAAATCCTCGCCGACAAATATAAGTCACATCACATCAGAGTAAAGTAGAAAACAAGTCACTCCACGTATGCAAATACAACGAAAACTGTTTTCACGTATACGCGATTCCGAACGGCAGGGCGAGCTCGGGCCGACACGTCCGTTGCCCCCAAGACGCGCGATTTGACTGTTTGCTACAAGCGCTCCTATCCGAGGGGAACAGGGAATGGGGAAGGGGCGGGGAGCCTCTCCAACTGAGGAGATAACTTTTGATCTTTTTGGAGGCATAGAAGATTTTAATGATGCAGTCACATCTGGTGATACAGAAAAAGTGAGCCTAAGTGTTAATGCATGTCAGGACTCAAGAGCTTACCCGAAACGACGTGTCAGAAAAAGCGACACTTAAGTTGCGGGTGACATTTTAAAAATATCCAAAGACAATTCGGTTTGATTGGTAATAAAACTTCAGCGGTCCGACTATGAAAATGGGAAAACGTTACGGTTTAGATTAGAATCTTCAGACGTTGAAATTGGAAGAAATACGAAACGTCGACGAGCGGGATATTGCGTTTTATATTCTTCCGTATTATTTTCACATCATCCGAGACATCTTGGGGCAGACAATATTGCACAAGGCGGTTTTTGTAGTTGCCCCGCACATGTCAGGGGTCCTACAAAGGCCCGAATATCTCAGCAGGTACAAAACGAACCCCGGTTCAAGTTACAACGGACTTCTCATAGATTAATGACGGGAACATTGTGGAGTTAAGAACCCAAAAATTTACAACTGCATTGTGTTTCGAATCTAACAAAAGGGCACAAAAGATAGGATCGGCTTCTGTTATTACCTTATCGTTTAGCTGAGATCTCCGTGATTTCTCTCACTTTTAGAGTAATACGAGAGCTATTATCAATGGGAGATTTCTTTTACACGAAACCCTAATCTGGCCTATACAGATGTTTGGGAGGCGTACCGTTAACCAGCATACAAATAATCATATTGTAAGATTCAAGTATTATTCCCATATTTTCAATGTTTCTTTTTCATAATAGAGTATCACCCCAATTGTAACAAGTATATGTTGACTGCGGAAATTACAAGCATTTTGCTCTATCTGTTCAAGATGGCACTATGTATTTTGTAAAAGAGACGGTTTATAAAAAATGAATTATTAAATCGATCGTTTAGTTTTCAATTTTTACCTACATTTACGCAACAAAAGGTTCATTCTTGCTTATATCCTTAGTATAAATCTAGCAAAAAAATACAAGAAAACTACGCATTTAAAGTAGGCAGTACGTTACAAAATATTACTAGACCCAACCAACCGACTCTCGATCGCAAAGCAAATGCGTACGATCAGAACAGGAGTAAAACAAGTGAGAGATTTATTATTTGTATTGATCACGTTGATTTATGTGCATGTCGCGATGCGAAAACAGACTTGAGGAGTGCTATCAATAATAAAAACACTGCATTGGTAGTTGTGGGTGATAAATCATCTCACGGTACAATCACAATAGACGTAGACAAAGCAGACTTGGTTTTTGTTTAAGATATTTTGTTATGTTATGATCACACGATGTTTTGTTATGTAACTCACGATATCTAAGGGAAAAAAGCTCACAATAAATTCTGAAGATTTTTGGGAGTAACTGCGTGACATTTCCATCGCAAATCGTAAAATGTTAATCGTTATCATGAGTATCTAATAGTAAAGTTGATTGTTTACAATGCTTTAACACCTATTAACGTTCCCAAGGTCACGAAGGCTTTCGCAGTTCTCCTCATAAACTTGAGTTTTCCTGTTTCCAAAAAAGTATTTCTATATCATTCTGTATTGTGCAATAGCGCGAAACTAAAGCTTCACACAGTCATGCTACAGAGCGTAATGAGTAAAGATGTACCGGATAATAATTTTGTATTAGATGACGAGACCATTTACAAAGGACGAAAACTTTATTTGAAATTATCGACTGATCTCGAGATTTCATCGCAAAAAGTTTTAAGCATAGAAAGTAAAATTTCCTCCGGTAAATCTAACATTGAAGTGAATCGGATATCCTTTCAAATTGAGCTTGAATTCCAAACTATCGGTCGTTTAGAAACTGACTTGTCAGCGCCGACTTGTCAGAAGGCCCTCGTCGGCGCATCTCTAGTAATGAGTAATGGTCGGTTCATTACTCAAGGCTGAGTTCGCTGTCTGCCGCTGGTGCGTGTCGATGCGCTGAAAGCTTGTTTTGGTGAACGATGCGTTAAGTGATTATGACGACAAAGGTTAGAAACTTAAGAAAATGTTTTGGTTAATTTTTGTTTCTACTAAATTTAAAACTGTGGGAAAATAATAAATACTGTGCTGCAGAAATGCAGTTTAGTAAAACGTATCGCAAATCAGCGTATTTCCATCGATTTACCTACATAAAACAGCTTTTAGTATGTACTGTAACTTTGTGTCTTTTATGACAGAGTAAATAATGCAGCATTCGGGTATATTTATTTCCAAAAACAAACAAATTTATTTTCGTGCGTTATACGTAAAAACGTCAATTTTAACAACCGAATGCAACTGTAGGCCATATGCGTCCACATGTTCGATTGCAATCTCCTCGCTTATGGCACTGCCGAATTTATCACGCTCATTGAGATTCTGAAAACTCAGCGCCGGAGATAAGGTAAAATTCGTCTTTACAAATTGCCTAATTTTTTTAAATTCCCCACCGTTTACCGTCTTGAATTATTTGGAGATAATTAAAAGTCCTGATTGCTTGCGTTGATCCTGCGCTTGCTAATTAAGCCTCAATAAATTGCGGGGTCTAACCACGGTTCTGATTGCCTGTGACCGCTCGCCGCTAAGAATCCATTGTTATTCTAAAAGCGTCCGCGCTTTGTTCATCCATCCGTCGTATATTCGATGCACTTCTTATTCTTATCGGGAATTTCTCCGCGCACGTCCCCATGCAGGCGTATACAGTGCCTTTATGGGCAATTTACGCCAGACTCCGATAGAAATGTGTAGAAATGAGGTCTGCTACGGAAAAGTCTATTTTGTTTTACGGACTGTGCGAGTTGTTTTATCGGATTGTGAGGACGTTGCCGAGTTATGTGGAAAAGGTCGCGACTCCAGATAGTTTGCCGCGATAAATGTATCACTGGAAGTGGGACCGGTTGCGTCAACTATCGATAAATTTTAAACTGATTACATTGTTCGGACCGATGTTGTGTGTAAGCGTGTAGAGCTTGCTAAGGTAGGAATTGTTTTGGATGCAATAGCAAAGTTGCTGGTAAAGTATATTCTAAAACCGCGTCAGACACACACTGTAATAACATCGCAAGTTTGAAATTATATCGCAGCGCTTGTTGACTCCGCCGTGGCCCCGGGCGAGTCCATCGTTCATAGCTCAACTCAAACACCGAGAAAATTAATCCCCGTTTACTTCGTTAACTACCATCAGTTTGTTTGTTTTTCAATCGTTCCGACGTTCACTTGAATTCAAAGATCGTATTCCGGGTCAAATATCGAAAGGGCTTCTAATATTCTACGTGACTCCGTCGATGATAATAGATCCAGTTCTTAAAATTCCATTAAGATTGAGAAACTTTTTTTCATCTTCGTGTACGTTTCTTGCCCCATTGTAGGAGAGAAATCGTTTGTAACGGTTATGCTTTTCCGCATTTTCTTCGTTTTTGCACGTGTCAGGTTTCTAACTGTTCCCTGCTGTGTCGTTGTATTCGTCAGCTCCTTTTAAACACGAGTTCCATTTGCTTTCGAGTTGACGACAAAACAAGCCCTGGCCAAGTCCTAGCATCGATACATTATCTCTTTACTCACAAACAAATAGAGACTGAATCCCGACTAAATAAGAGGTTTTCCTTCGGGATCGTAGGCAGGGAATAAAAGTGGCACGAGCTTCGGTTGCTGCGGTTTTATTGTACCTAATAAAATCTCCTGAGCTTCGATACAGCGGCTGCTTGAATTATAAACGCGCTATACAGGGATATAGTCATTTTGAAAGATCTACAGTACTGGATTTAATTGATATTACGTTACTTTTATACTTATTGGCTTAACTAGTTTCATTACTGTTATTTGAATAACTTTATCTTTATTAATATAAAAGCCTCAATTATTAACGCTTTCCTGGATGACAGTACACGTAATACTTTACTATTTTATGGCTGGCAGCTACGGTCAGTAAATTTCGTATTATGTCCGTCTGACCTGCATGTTGAATACGAAAACAAATTTTCATAATCTTTCACGGCTAACGTTTACTCTTAACGCCTCAATAAACTTTAAGTATTTTAATCAAGTCACCTGCATCTCCCAGATGTTTTATGCGAGCGTTATTTATACGGGCATATTTTGCCGGGCGCATTTTGAATTATAAACAGTGCTGGAGGCGGGATGGCAGTCGTGGGCTACCGGTGAGGTCGCCTCACGACGCCATTTGTCCAGCGCCTAGGGCCCGTGCAATTTGCATCGGTGAGCCACGCCTCGCGGCTTCTACATCGCTTTGTGGTGAGCTAGTCCGGGAACTATCCGACCTGCAACCGTGGTTAGAGCTATTACTTTTTTGGATAGCGCAAGGGAAGTACTAGGGGAGCTTCATTTTCAAACATTAGGTCAAGTTCTTATTTGATGTAGTGTAAGGAAATTTTGGCCTGCCCTTGGCTAAGTCTGTGACCCTAACCCTAGCCAAATTTCCCGGCTGTAAATCTAGCCAAAACTTTGTAGCATGTATTGACAAAAACATGCCTACCGTGCTGCCTATTACCTAGCAAGTAACTACAAGGAAAGGTAAAAGCTTTCCAAATGACATAAGTATTCAATCTCTGTATAAATGAATTATAATAAATAAATCAACTTCAGTAAAGTGTCCGAAAGTTCTTAGCCATCCTATACAAAAGCACACAATCAAGTCATATCCAACAATCCGAGTTCCAGATCATGGTTTTAAACACACAACGGATACTTTTCGGACACCGCTCCCTCATCTACTCCTATTGTTCCTTCCAGTAGACTATCTTTGTGATCAACTATAGATTTTTAATGCATCTTTTTGCGGTTTCATGTTCCTTGTACGGCTTTACCTCTTCCAATATTCATTTGTGCCGCACAATTTTTCTCAACCATAAACTTCGTATTAATTCTAAAACAAACACACCTCTCGAAGCA